CAGCCCCACCTCTCACACCCACTGCCAGCGCCCCGCACTGGTCCCAATCGCTCAGCGACATCAGCTGCTGGCCCCGATCGATCGCCCCTGAGGGCTTCTTTACCTCCCCCTGCTCCTGAGGGACGATTGGGGCAGCAGCTGCTGCTTGTAGCCACTGCTGGTGCTAGCCCCAACCTCTCCGTGCAAGCGAGACCAGCGCTGTCAGCGCATGGGAGCAGCGGTGGTGGTGGGAGTGGGGCTGCTGGCCAAGAGGAGACCTGGTGGAAGGGGCTGGGCGGGGGCACAAGGATGGGCCAAGACCCACCCCTGTGCCCACCGCAGCATCGCCGCCCACAGTTCCTTTCAAGGTGCATGAATTCATGCACTGGGACCGTAATTACAAATATTCGCCTCAAAATGGCTAATAAAATAGTACATCAAATAAGATAAAAATTTAACCTGCCATAAGTATAAATGAAATGGAAAAGATACAAAAAGAAAAGCAACATGGCCAATTTTGCTAATCAAAAGAACCAAAAACTTCTGAATTTCAAAATTATATAAAAAATTTGTAAAACTCCATTAGAAAGGGAAGCTTAACACACAGGAGAAAAAATGGTTGCTATCCATATTTAGAAAGGTTTAAAAATGCAATTCCAGCCCTGACCAGTTTGGCTCAGCGGATGGAGTGTCGGCCTGCAGACTCAAGGGTCCCAGGTTCGGTTCCGGTCAAGGGCATGTACCTTGGTTGCGGGCGTCCCCAGTGGGGGGCATGCAGGGGGTGGCTGATCAATGTTTCTCTCTCATCAATGTTTCTGGCTCTCTGTCCCTCTCCCCTACTCTCTGTGGAAGATCAATGGAATATATTTTTTTTTAAAAAAAATGTAATTCCAGCTCTAACTGGTTTGGCTCAGTGGCTAGAGCTTCGGCCTGTGGACCAAAGGGTACAGGGTTCAATTCCAGTCAAAGGCACGTACCTTGGTTGCAGGCCCGAGTCCTGGTTGGAGCTCATGCAGGAGGCAACCAGTCAATGTGTTTCTCTCACATCGATGTTTCTCTCTGTCTTTCCAGTGAAGGGTCAGAGAGATGATTTGGCAGCTCCATAGTTCAGACCCCAGACAGGTCACCTAACTGCTCTCACTTACCTGTAGCAACATGGTAGATAAGGTAGCACAGCCTTTGGGGCCCCACACAGTTTAGATCTTCTTTCAGTTTCTTTCTCTTGAATGTCATGATATCCTTGGGTGAGGATTAACCAAAAAATAAGTAAATAAATAAAAATAAATATGGCCCTAGCCGGTTTGGCTCAGTGGATAGAGCGCTGGCCTGCGGACTGAAGAGTCCGGGGTTCAATTCCAGTCAAGGGCACATGCCCAGGTTGTGGGCTCAATACCCAGTAGGGGGCATGCAGGAGGCAGCAATCAATGATTCTATCTCTCTCTCCCTTTCCCTTCCTCTCTGAAATCAAAATATATTTTAAAAATAAATATGTAATTCCACAATAACTAAATATGTAATTACATATTTAAATATGTAATTCTCTGAGCAAAAACACAGAGAAAATTAATGGAATACAAGTACAAAATAAACGAAAAATATTCAATTCATAGTAATAAGAAATTAAAACAATGTATTACAAATGTATTTAACATGGATTTTTAAAATAATATTCAATCCTAGTGATGATGTGAATCAGGCTACCAAATAAACTGCCAGGCTTTATTTCAGCTCATATAAAATTGTTGTTCATTCAACAGCCACTTACTGAGCACCTATAAGGCACTCACGACACTGACCAAAACATGCAAAGAGCCAGCCTGGTGGGCCTTAGATTTATGTTACATCCTAATTTCCCTTCTAGAAATGTAGACTTAAAAAAAAAAAACCCACACAAAGAAATATAGACAAAGCCTTACATACATAGCTATTCAACATAGCATTGTTTATAACAGCCAAAAAAGCTGGAAATAATAAATGAATAAGTAATTACTAGGATGGAAAATTGTGAATAAATACTTAAGTCAATTGTTGAGTGAAAAAAAAGTAAATACATTGTGCATATAATTCAATTTTCTTTTTTTAATGTTAACAAAGAAAAGGCAAAACTATTTACAGTATTATCTGTGGGTTGTACGCGTGTGGGGACATGTTTTCTATACCTTCTAGTAATTTCTAAATTGCAAAGTAATTTGCAAAGTTATCAGTTTCATAATAACTATTTTGAGAAAGACATCCCTCAATACGAAGAAAAAATGGACACGATTCTTTTCTTTTACGTTGTGGGCGTAGGATCTCCTAAAAGCACAATATTCAAAAGCAAGTTCAAAGTATTACAAATTGTCTCCACAACAGTGAACAGTCAAGACCAAACTCATAAATGTTTAAACACTCAAAATGCTGAATGAAATGGAAATAGACCAGAAATCGATAAGACGTAGAAATTTAAATAGAGACTGAAATTAGGAGACCAACTGGAGGGCGGACTCCATTTAACAAAAGTTAACAAGGAAAGAGAAACCTCCTGGAGGGGGAGGTAGTTTTCAGAGCCACGGAAGGGGCTAGTGTCTAACCTAGGAAATCCAAAACAGGATTAAGACGCACCATTTTCTGACTAATATCGCTTACTCTTCAGAAAGAGAACCACCATGTCAGAGCTCAGCAAAGCCTCCTCCATCCCCACTCTGATGGTGAAAACACTCGGGACTCACAGCCAGAGGGGAGACCAGGACCAAACAACTGAAAGGCAATCTTGCCCGTGAACCGTCTGTGCCAGGGGCCTGCGCTTGCTTGCGCACAGCTCTGTGTTTCCAATTGGGTCCTTGAGGACAGCTGCTTCCCAGTCTATTACCCAGTCTGGAAGCAGCTGCGCCAACCAGAGGCCAATGCACAAATTAGTGGAAGGACGAAGTCTCTGCTTCCGTGATGTCAGCTCTAGAGTGGACAGAGAATTCATTTCATGTCTCCAGGTTGAACACAGGCATACCAAGGAGATACTGCAGCTTTGGTTGATTTCAGACCACCGTAATAAGGCAAGTCCTAACCTTTTTGCTGGTGGAGGGTCTTGCCTTCAGTTTGTAAAAAAATATATATATATGCAGCACCTGTGAAGTGCAATAAACCAGGGCTCTGTATTTGTATTGTGGGTTGAGGGGAAACAGGAATGGACTTCTAAAGAAGAGAAAGTTACGGAGGGACAGAACAAACAGCTCCGCTACTGACATCAGATTTATCAAAGAATTACTTATGTTCTCCACATCTACAAAATATCCATTTGGCCACATTCGCCTGGGGAAGCTGTACGGAGGTTAACTGCATAGAGTTTGGAGTCAAACTAACCTAAACGCCGGCAGCCTTAGTTCCCTCATCTGTAAAATGGGGACGATGATGCCTATCCCACAAGGGGATTGGGTCTTGTGTATAAAATACAGCACCAGGCACACAGGCAGCGCTCAGTAAATGGAAATTATTAGTTGGCCTGTCCCGCAGCTGATGAATCCGTTAGTATGAGATGGGCTTTCTTTGTTGACTACAGACAAGGGCAGTCTTCATGAACATCTCTTCTCCCAGAAAGCCCAGGGTCTCCTGTCCTCTCTGGACACATGGACACACAGGGCGGAGCATGCAGGGAGCAGAACTGAGACCTGAGGTGCTGCGTTAGGCAAAGTCGTTCGCACCCTCAGTATACTGCTGGGAAGAGACCCATTTTGTCACCAGGGCTGTGGTGTGGGCTTCTGAGGCAGGGTTCCACCCAGCTGTGGGAAATCTCTGTGGAGACCTCAGGTGTGAGGTCAAGTCTGCAGGATGACTGACAGGTGATGACTCTGCACAAACTGGCCTGTGACCTTGAGCAAGTCACTTCTCATGTCAGTTTCCTCTTTAGTCAAAGGAGTGGTTCCCTTCTCTGATCCCTGAAGTCTCTTCCTGGGCTTCTACTGGACCATCGCCTACACGGTGCCGGTTATCGTTCCAACAGTGAGGTCCTGGGGACACCTTCAAATGTGTTCCGTTTCCTTTCAAAGCCACTTGGCAGTCTTTTGGCCATCCCCCCCAGGGAAGGGAGGATTTGGCGTCGCTTCCATGGCTTTCTGTTCCTGCTCCATGCCCACCCGGGGCTGCTCATCCCACCTTTCCTTTTCTGCCCACAAAGTGGTCAAGTGTGAGTGCGCCGGGGACAACCACGGGCTCACAGCCTGTCAGCTCAGAGATGGTTTCCAGGCCATCCTGTGTGTATGCTCAGGGTGGACAAATAAACATTTCAGAGAAGCAATACGAATTAAATCATTTCCTCAACAACAAAACCCGCCCACACGCTTCTCCATAAATCATGCCTCTTAATTCCGTCCTGATGAGCCGTCAGTAAACTGCATCTATTAGAGAAACAACCCTGACTGCTTTCATGCCCTGACACTCGGAAATCACAATATTGTCACACTCTATTGTACTAATGCCTTTGCAGAAGTAAAAGCAACCGCTAGTTCCCTGGAAAGACCCGTGGCCGGGGCGCTTTCCAAGAGATATTCTTTGAACGTTCTTTGTGTCCTGGTGCACTGGGGGACACCACACCGCCGGAATCCCTGTATCTGAGGGGCGCAAGACTCCTCAGAGTCATGCAACACCGTCTTAAGGCGCACACACCCCTCCCCAGTGTTCCCCTTCAGCCTGACAATAACGTACCCCTTAACATTTCATATACCACCTTGCCACGGCCACGCATGCATACAATTCCACTGCCTGGATTTTGCAGAGAAAATAAAGGCACGTTGGGAGATGAAGCCACCAGACCCGCCTCGGACTCCGAGGATAACAGGAGAGCTTTGCAGCTCATTAGCAAGATTGGCCACCATCCTCCGGCTCTCTCCCTTTCTTCCCTCCGCGCCTTCGTGGCTGGGCCCGAGAAGAATGAAAGAGCATCTCCAGCCAGGAGGGCGAGGGAGCGGTGGAGAATAAAAGAGTCTGGGCGGGGAAGGCAGGATTTTGAAAACAGCAACAATCAAGGCAGGCAGGGTCCCCGCGGTGCTTACCTGGGGCGCACGAGGCCGGCCGGGCCAGCGCAGCAGCCA